ATGAGGCCAATTGTGTCGCAAATTCCTCGGCAGAATGTAGTAGGATCTGGTTACCAATATTGAAAGAGGAAGTTATTAATAAGAAAATACCAGTATTAGTAAGTCAGTAACATATAGAGGATACATCATTTATGTTTTTTAAATAACGTAACATATAAAATCAGAATTTTGATGTTTGTTGAAGGTAAACTAAATTCACGAACAAATACTTACAATGTCGGGATAGTATTATGAGGTTTTTTTCCTGGTTTTTCCCTCATAATTTACTATGGAATCACTAACAGGAGAATTTTACTGTCATCATGTCATGTGTTTGTCTTTTTAAAGACGAATTACATGCTATGATTTTTTCTGACGGATATTCTCAAGTTAAAGTTGATTTCATGTAATCGAATGAACTATCTTATAGTAAAGTCGTCCCAGGAGCGCAACTCAACAATATTGGCAATATCATTTTAAAGTCGTCTACTTTAAAATGCATAATGTATGTCTGAATTGTCAATATAAATGAGTCAGATAAAATTAAATTATTAGAAGAATTTTTTCACTATGTAACAAAAAACAAAATTTGTTTAATTTACTGTTTGTATTTTGAGAACGATTTCCGAATTGGAAATTGAAACGTCAATAAACGTATTTTTTATCTTTAATTGTGGCTTATTCCCAGTTATAAATAGTAATTAATTTACAATGCCACAAGAAAATAGCTTCAGAACAATATTAGGATTAGGAAGATGACCTACAACGGATGGTCCACGCTGTGGAAGCTAACGCAGAAAAGTTTAACCTGAAAATATCAGAACTAAGGATTTTTTTGAAACGTGAATTGATTTAGATTCATTGAGTTTGATTTATCATTTTTTAGTCCAATTATGGATTTTAGTCAATTATATTTATTGACAACTGTAATTATTCTTCTGCTTCTTTGCTGGTATCACCTACTGCTGGATACCGTTAACATCTGCAAAGGTGGCTGGTGGCTATAGTAGAATTTTCTAGTCCAGATATGTCTTGTGTGTATAACAGGTAGAGGACCGGACCTAATACGCTTCCTTGAAGGACTACTACTGCAATTTCTTTTAGATCTGTGCACACGTATTCTTGCTTAATTCTGAAATGTCTGTCAGATATGTATGATTGCAAAATTTCTGAATATTGTTTAGGCATAAGAATTTTGATTTTGTAGATTTAAAGTTCATGCCATACTTTGTCGAACGCGTAAAAGCTTAGCTATGTTAAAAATATTGTATTGTAGAGCAGATTTTCTTTTCTTTTGATTATTTTTTTTTGTTTACAAGCACTGAATTTGGTGTTAAATCTTCTATTTCATTCCACAGTCCACTTTTTTTCTAAATAACGTTAAACTCTTTTTTGGGGCTATTTTTAAACAAATTATTTTTATTAGTGGATCTTTAGGCTCTTCAAGGTTGTTTGTATTTAATGTCTGTATTTATTAGGTTTTGTGTCATTCTTGAATGTAATTGATCTAGGATCGATATTACCGCTATTTATCTGTAATTTTTCTAATCGGTTTTTGTGCATTTCTTATGTATTGAGGAGATGAATGATTGTTTACATTCTTCTGGAACCACTTCTTCGTTCAAACCACTCTATAATAACTTACACCGCATTTCAAATAGCTTCGACGTTCCATATCTAATCAGCTTTGAGTATATTTCTAATTTTGATTTTTTTTTTATTTTGACTATTTGAGTATCTTCTAATTTTTCTATTGATAGGTCTACCTCTCCTATGATTTATACACGTTAACTTGTTAGCAGAAATGTATTTCCCGTTCCTACCAATAAATCCTTGTGATTATAGTAAATGGTATAATAGTATAATGAACTTATATTAAAAGGGGAATTTGGTTTTGTTCCAAGGTCACTAAATAATTTATTGATGAACTTTATTTGCGTTGTTTATAAAAGTGTTTGTTGTTATTTGTTACACTAGTAAAACTTTGCAACTTCTTCTTCTTAACATGCCATACACCAAAGTGCGTAGGTGACTATCTCATTACTAGAACTCTGTTCTTGGCGGCGTGACACAGCTCGCCTGTATTGTGTATTCCTGTCCATTCTTTAATATTCCTTAACCAGGATCATTGTTTGCGGCCGGTTCCTCTCCTACCTTCGATCCTCCCTTGTAGGATTAACTGTGGTATTTCATATTTTGCTCCTCTCAATATGTGCCCAAGGTAACCAATCTTGCGTTTTTTAATTAATTCAAAGAGTTCTCTTTCCACGCTGGCTCTCTTAAGGACGTCATCGTCTCTTCGAACTCTATCCACCCAAGGTATGTGCATCATTCTTCTCAATGACCACATTTCAAATGCTTCAAGTTTGTTGATAGATGTTTTTTTCAAAGTCCACGTTTCCATGCCATAAAGCAAGATGGACCATATGTAGCACTTGACCATTCTGTAGCGTATTTCGAAATTTAGGTTTTGATTACATAGGAGCGGTCTGAATTTCACAAAACCTTGTTTTGCCATTTGTATTCGGGTTTTTATCTCGTGTTGTGGATCCGATTGGTCATTCATTGTGGTGCCAAGGTATTTAAAAGTTTTCACGCGTTTTATACGATCGTCACCTATGCATATTATCGGGTTTTCTGGACGGTTTTTGCTAATGACCATATATTTCGTTTTCAAAATGTTGATTTTGAGGCCATATTTTTTACCTATGTTAATCACCCTATCAAGTAATAACTGCTGATCTTCCAAATTATCAGTTAGAATCACTGTGTCTTTTGCATAGCGTAGGTTGCTAATTGGTATGCTGTTCACCTTAATGCCTAATTCCGTGTCTTCTAACGCTTCCGCAAATATATTTTCAACATATAAATTAAAAAGCATCGGAGAGAGTATGCAGCCTTGGCGGACACCTTCCGGATTTCAAATTCATCCGTATATTGGTCTTGATCAATCCTCACCTTTGCCATTTGGTTCCAGTATAGATTCTGATTAATTCTGATCTCCTTCTGGTCAATGTTGGCCCTATGTAGTAGTCCCATCATGATATCATTTTTAACATTGTCAAATGCCTTCTCGTAGTCGATGAAGGTGAGGTAGACATCTTTTCGTTGATCTAAGCAGTTTTGTATTAAGGTGTTCAAACATAAAATTGCCTCTCTTGTTCCTAGTCCTCCCTTAAAACCGAATTGTGTTGACCCGGTAAGTTCTTTTAGTATCTTGTACATTCTTGAATGTAATATCCTAAGGAAGAGTTTCAGCAAGTGACTCATTAAACTGATTAAGCGGTGTTCACTTTGCAACTACTACTTTTTATTTTTGTATACATTACGTTTGTGTATATTTCGGTAATCACATTATTAGTCCAATCAATGAATGTAAAATACAACGTATCTTGTAAATGTAAAATACCAGTGCCTGGTAGACCATTTTATTGCAATCAACCACCCACTGTCTAATAGATTGTTTAGTTTATTTCTTGCATTCGCACGTTATGTCCACTTCATTTGCTCTCAAACTAACAACCTATTTATTATAGACAGGTGTAAGTGTGAGATCTGGATTATGCAATGTAGTTAAATTAAAATCTTCACAGTCGTCCAAAAATGTTAAGCTTTTCCTACCCGGTAAACAATGTACTATTACTTGTGAGTTCGGATTTTTCACATTTTTATATACTTAAATTTGTATTGAATTTTTCTTTTTTATCTTGATATATTCTTTTGAACATGGTTTTTTGATTTTCTATATTTTTCTCCTGAAAAGCATCTATTTAATCTCCTTTGTATTTACTTATTTGATTTTATTTGCATAAGTTTTTACATTTTGAATGTTTTAATAATATTCTTGTGGTATTGGATACGACTAAGATTTTTTCTGCGTCCATTTAATACCTATTTTGTCTATCGGTGGTCATGTTCTTCTTCTTCTTAGTCGTATTTATGGCTTTGGTCTAATCATGTTGAGTATTTATTAAGTTTTCCACAAAAAGTATATTGGATTCTTCACATTTCACGTTGAAACTTGAAACCAATTTTGACGTTTGACTAAGAAGGACCAACTTTTAATAAGCTAATTCTCCACTTGTAGTGGGACTACTACAGACACCATGAATCCATTATTATTTTTGTTTTTTTTTTATAGGCTACATTTAAATAATTTATTTGATAAAATACATACTTTTTGAGTAATTCGCAGAAAGACCGTTTGAAAAAATTTTTTTTGATAAAAACTTGACTTTCCCACTTGCGAATAAGTCTAAGACTATTGGCTTTCAGAAAAAAAATGTATGAAACTAAAGTTGCTTAAGATTGGTTATATTTTCGTTTCTGGAATTAATCTTAATAGAAATTTTTTATCCTCGAGAACGGTTGGCATCACCCCAGGGTAAAAGCACTCTTCAGCACAGTCATCTTTGAAGTTAAGGTTGAGTATAACCTATAGCCAAATTTTGGTGCAAATTGGTGGGTTCTCAGAAAATTATGCGGGGAAATAGTCATTGACTGAAATAATATTCTTTACTTGTAAGTTCGGATTTTTCACATTTTTATATACTCAAATTTGTATTTAATTTTTCTTTATCTTGATATATTCTTTTGAACATGGTTTTTTGATTTCCTATATTTTTCTCCTGAAAAGCATCTATTTAATCTCCTTTGTATTTACTTATTTGATTTTATTTGCATAAGTTTTTATATTTTGAATGTTTTAATAATATTCTTGTGGTATTGGATATGACTAAGATTTTTTCTGCGTCCATTTAATACCTATTTTGTCTATCGGTGGTCATGTTCTTCTTCTTCTTAGTCGTATTTATGGCTTGCTTTGGTCTGATCATGTTGAGTATTTATATTCCAATATAATTTATATTAATCGATTCATAGTCCGTTAGTATCGCGTTCTAACTGTTTATCAATTCTTCAATTTTATTTAATTTACTAATGATAGCAAAAGATCTGCAGTCAGCAACATTAAATAAAATTAATAAAATAAATTAACAAATAATTCTTATATTTTATTATAGGAACTTGGCTCAAAGGTGAAAAAGCACCCAAATATAATTACGATTTCTGGTATCAACCCTACTTCGACGTTATGGTAGCTACAGAATGGGGTGTTCCAAAAATATTCAAGAAAGGTTTTCAACCGTCCGACACAAATCCCGAAACTTATGGAAGAAGTCTTAACTTTTTCTCGTGGAAAAAAAGAGAATTTATTCAAAGCATTAATTTAGGTGAAGATGGTATTGCACCCTTAGAAGTTAGATTTTTACACAATCCCAAAGAACCACAAGGATATGTTGGTTGTGCTGTTAATGCAAATATCTATAGGTAGGTAGAATAAATTTATAAGTCCAGATAAATGCATGCAAACGAGAAAAAACAAAATTAAAATTAGACAACTACAGATTTCTAGATTCTTGTTGACTTTTACGGCTCTAAAAAACACTGGACGGTTTTGTTTGGGGAAAGGGACAAAATAATGAATTAATTACAATTTAACAATACAATAAAGTACAAATATCGTTATAGGCGTAAGTCAAATAAGTCTGTAGCAAAGATTTTCAACAGAAATTCTCATAGATATAAAGTAAATAGTAGTATGAGGTCAGAATAAAAATGATCACAAAAAAGAATTGCTCAAACTTTAAAGGGAACATAATTACAAGTAGAAAACTAAGGATTGTTATATTGACTCTGTAAAATCTTTGATACCTTTAAACATTAGCGATCATTAGCAATTTTATAAGAAGTATAAATGGATAAGACACGACTACAATATATAATATTTACTAGAACCATTTAGACTTTATACAAACTGGAAGCAGAAATAATAAACTTCACCATTACCATTGGTTCAACGATCCTTGTCAACTAAAGTCAAAAGTCTAAGTCAAAATTTCACATCTATGTACTTTAACTTATTCCATGTATCTGAATCTAAATTTCCCTTTTGTCTTTCTTCTATTAGTGTGTGCTTAGTTAGTTTCTAGAGCATTTCATGTTTCTGCATCCATTACACATGGACTACAGAGAGTTCTTCTTTCTGTTATGTAGTAACATTTGGTGTACTAATGCTTTCAATTTGTCGATTTCTTGGGCCTGAAAATTGGGCTGTAACTGTCCAATTTTTATAAATGTAACGATTTGTATTGCCTTATAAATTTTGAGTATGCGCCAGACATAGTTCTCCTTAATGTCTAGAATTTTTCTTCAATCTCCAATCAAACTCCAATCTTTTTTTGACGTTTGTTGACAATGCCTGTCTCCCATTCGTCTGTTTTACTGATTTAGGGTATCAAGAGTTTTATCTACAACAGCAAAGCAGTGTCACCGTGGAAATAAAGAATAAGATTTTAGTATCACGAGAATTTCAGCAACTTTCCATTAGTGAGGAAATTGATTATGGATTGGAGTTGCATTAAATACTTGTGTCAGTGTCTTTGTTGTTTTTTCGTTAATATTCTGTAATGTTTTTCAGTTATTAGGTAATATTCAGGGGCTTTTCTGGAATTAATTTCGTTCATTATTATATGGGATATTTCTCTAAAAGTAAATTTTCAAATTGGCTAATCTTCTGATGAGGTGTTAAGAGAAATTTTGCATTTTTTTATTAGTTTTTACGTCAAATGCCTTTGCCTTTTTCCTGTTATTTCTGGTCCAGAGTCCAGAGTTGTCTCTTACTGGTTGTATTTGTTGTGGAGATTGTTTAAATGTTCGTGTTCTACGCCAGAGAGAATAATCTGTTGCTTTTGTAAATGTTAGACTATCCAAGTATGTATTTATAGTTTGGTTTTTAATCGTATGTAGTAAAATTGTTTTTAGTTCTTTTAGTGGCATTTTTTGCCAAGTCTCCTTTTTTCTGCGAGATTTCTCTAACCGCAATTGGGTTTTCATGTTTATATGTATTGTTATTAGTAAATGGAGTTGCCTACCAAGCAGCAGTTTGGATTCTGAATGTAATGTTTTTTAGTGTCACTTCTATATTATTATACTGTGATTTGAGGGAAATATTTAATTCAATTGTTTCGTTTAGTTTGTCTCTAAAAGCAACCCAATTTGTGTTTTTGTTGGATATATGTGGATCTTTTGGTTTTTACGCTATCTCAGCGAAGTAGATTAACTGAATTGGAAAATAATCGGATGAAAGATCAAAACTGGATTCTATTTTTGTCTGGTCATAATATCAGATGTCTGGTATTAATACCTTTAGTAATAAAGAATTCAATGGTATATAATTTTTTTTAGGAACTGAAGGCCAGTATGTAGATTCGCCTAATTTCTATCGAATATAGGCTGTTGTCAGTGATAATCAGCATCAGTTATCTGCCTTTTGCGTTTATCAATCGGGATCCCCATAGTGTATTCTTAGTCTGTATTACTTTACTTTTCAGTGCTACTGATGTGGCTTGTACCTATATGTTTCTTCTTATTACCTTCCAGTTCATAATGTTTTATAGAATTGCGTATTACATGTAGTTGCTGTTCCCCATGGGCGGTATTATCTAGGTGGTTAGTGTGATAGATATTATATTTTGGTATTTTTAAGTAATTTTTACTTGTAAAATATCTCTACAACTAGTAAAATATCAATATTATTATTAATTATAAATATTTTGATTTCTTAAGCATGTGAATTCATTCCGTTGGCATTCCATTATGCTGTCTTGAACAGCTGTGTCATCATTTCGATATTTTAGCGACAAGTGTTGTGATCAGGTTCATCATTGTTCCCATTTGTGTTATCTCTTATCATTACTTTCATCTCGGAGAGATCAGAGTGCTGAGTACTGACTGATTAATTTGGTTGATTTATATTATTAGCAGCATGTGTTTACTGAGATGTATCCTATGCGTAAGTGACCCTTGGATTTGTAGATTGTTATGCTTTTCTGTTTATGTTGGTTGAAGTTTTGTCTCTTGATCTGGAGTATGTCTCTTATTCTGGGGTTTTTTGTTCCAATTCCTTATAAATGTTGCAGCCTTTGTAGTTTGTTGGATGGTTTTCCGAACAATTTACGCATTTTACCATGTTATTTTTTACTTTTCTTATGCACTGACTACTTTGGTGTGGTTCTGTGCATTTTACACATCTTAAGCTGCGTTGCGGGGTAAAATTAAAGGAAAAGGAGCCCCAGGACGAAGAAGAATATCCTGGCTTGCTAACCTGAGAGCATGGTATAGAAATACCTCAACACAGCTATTTCGTATAGGAACCAACAAAATCATCATAGCCAGAATGATCGCCAACGTTCGGAGCGGACAGGCATCCTAAGAAGAAGAAGCTGCGTTGGCAGAATTTTTTTATGTGGCTAAATCTCTGGCAACGAGTGCATTGAGGTATAAGCCTTCTTGTATGCGGGGTTTAAATATTACACTCGTATTTATTAAGAATTTTATTTCGTGTATCTTCTTATTATTTTCATTTCTTTTTAAATCCACAAAGCACATAGGTAAGGGCTCTTCTGTTTTATAATTTTTGATGATCCATATTTGTTCGACTTCATGTCCCAAAACTTCTATGTTATTTTTAATTTGATCTGGGTCGGTCGAATGATGTATATTCTTTAGTACAACCCTGAAGTTTTTTTCTAGTTTTATGTCTAGGTTTATACATATGGAACTCTGTTTTCTTTTCTATAAGGGCTTTTATTTTAGAATAAGCTTTTTCGGATTTTGGTTGTACTTTGAGTTGTTCTACCCGTAAGGCTTTTATTATGTACTGATCCGGACATAACTTGTTAATGGACATATCTTAATAGAATCGTGAGAGGATTGATATCTTCTACTTTATATATAAATAGAGGAGGAGGTTTGGCTCATTTGTTTTCTCAGTAGTTGTATCAGTTGAATTATCTTCAGATCTAAGATTGTTAAATATGTTATCGTATTTTTCTTGGTACCCAGTCAGTAATCCTTCATTGTAGTTTGTCTTTGTTTTTTTTAATGTTTTGTATATCGCTGGTAGATGGAGTATCAGCTGAATATATAATTATTTGATGTGTTTGTTCAACTGATATTGGTTGGAAGTTTGACGTAAATGTATGTTGTTATTGCTAAGGCATCGTGGGAGGAATTGGTACTATTGGATGTTGGTAGGGTGTTAGCGTTTGATTTATCAATAATTGTCAGTTTTGGTAATAGCATATAGCGGGATTAGTTTGCACAAGTTGCATCATATTTTCTTTACATTTTCCATATTTTCCATTTATTCGAATTACCCTGTATAAGTTAAAAATTGTGATATTTTCATACTCACAGTAAGTAAATCAGTTAAAGAACTGGAATTTATTTGGACACTTTTTAACACATTTTAATTGCCCGGTAATTATTAGCGATATATGCTATAAGAAATCACTTATGTGTTTTTTCTACTTGTTTTTTGACAAAGTATCGACCTCACTGTTCGGGCTCTGGAAGCCGAATGCTCGGGTCATGTGTTGAGAGGTAAAACATGTGAATTGCTTCAAATGGAGATGGTTTGACCGCTCCTCCGCAAATATGAAAAAGAACAAGACTAGAAAGAGGTTGTATAATTAAGTTATATGAAGGGATATTATGGGGTTGGTGTGATAATGTTATTATAGGATATACTGGCTTGGAGATTACTGGTTATATTTGGTAATACTTAATTACTTGCGATATACTGGTTGGATTAATTTACAGCAGCCTAAGGAAAAAAAAAATTCTAACGTAAGCCGTAGAGAAAGTTCTTTCACAATAAAGATGTATTGAGTAAATTTAGGGTTGATTTAGTTGCAGCCACATAGATGTAATATCCATAATAGAGCTTGAAATGAATTAGTGATCTGTAAACTTTCAGTAACGTAGTTTTTTACACAAGGATAATGTGAGAGTGTTTTATGTATATTAACTTTTTTATGCATACTCATTTATTTTCCTGAATGTTTTGTTTCCAGGCTAATCTTGAATCAAATATTAGCCCTAACATTTTTCTAATTACTATTTATAACTGGGAATAAACCACAATTAAAGATAAAAATACGTTTATTGACGTTTCAATTTCCAATTCGGAAATCGTTCTCAAAATACAAACAGTAAATTAAACAAATTTTGTTTTTTGTTACATAGTGAAAAAATTCTTCTAATATTCAATTTCACTATGTAACAAAAAACAAAATTTGTTTAATTTACTGTTTGTATTTTGAGAACGATTTCCGAATTGGAAATTGAAACGTCAATAAACGTATTTTTATCTTTAATTGTGGTTTATTCCCAGTTATAAATAGTAATTAATATACAATGCCACAAGAAAATAGCTTCAGAACAATATTAACATTTTTCTATTATCAACAACCGGTAAATTAAAGTTTTTAACAGTGACAGTGACAAAATTAAAAACTAATTAATTCTTCTGCTTATTTTAACAACTGTGGATTTAGAACAGGATAGGAGAGGGTAAATCCTAGAGGAGCCTTTTTAGATTATTTACTGCTAATTGCAAAATTTTGCTAGTAGTTACGTTAGATTTATCGTGTCATCGACATATAACACGCGTTTGATGGGTTGGGTGATATTGTAACTTAATCTGCTAATTACAAGAATGAATAAGGATAATGCTTAAAACTAAAACTTAAGGAACTCCTTCATGTTGGATGTGTAGTGAAGATAAAAAGTTATTGTCGGAAAATTTGAATGTTCTACATGTTAGGAAGTTTTTTTTTTGTAAATGCGTGTATGTTTCCAATGAGGTTACATTGAGAAAGTTTGTCAATAATTACGTTTCTAGAAATACTCTCAAATTTGCCTTATATTTCGCAAATAGTTGCTATTAGATCTTGTTTGCTATTCATTACGTTAGAAATATGAAAAATATTTGAAAACGAGTAAATACAACATAAGTTCAGGATATGTCGATCATTTATGTGGATCACCTGCTCACTTTATAATAAATAATTGAAAAGAAAGTAAATACAGGAAGGAACCTTCTTCCAATGTTTATAGACATACAGAAAGCATATGTTGATAAACAAAAGTTAACACAATAAAATTGTTTTTATATCAATACTTTGGTAGATAGTTTACCAAAAATTTAAGAAATACATATATGTTACATAAGTATAGTCACTACGAACATGTTAGAAAATGGAAAAAAAATTAAGGTAAATAAATAGTGTAAAATGAGATTCTTCTAGACAATCTGAAGATGTAGAAGATAATAAATAGTAATTATTTTCAAAGATTAACATGCAAACTACAAAAGTGCTGTGATACCAATATAATAATGTTGGATAATCATATAATGTTTATTAGATTGCTTCCATCAGGAGTTCCATATAATGAAACTCTAGGGGTAGTTTACCTCCTGCATGGGGTTGATTAAAATAAACTCATTGGATACTCATAATTTCTTTATTGGTTCTCTAAGTACAATAATAGAGAGAGTACCCAGTTATGGATGACAACACTAGCTTCAACTGTTAACTCTTAGTTCTTAATTCTTAATAATCTATTCCCGTTATTTTACGAGGCATTTAACTCACGTGCGTTTGTTTATACATTATTATTATTATTATTATTATTATTATTATTATTATTATATAACAAATAAGGGCAGAGGAGCGAGCTCCTATTATGCCCAGAAAGCAAAAATGAACAAAAATAAAATATATCCTTATAAAACTAATACTAATTATAAAGTTAAATACAGTTAAACAAATTAACAAAAATTGAATTGTGACACAATAAATAAATAAATAATGCTGTCCGAGAAAAAATATCCTATCCTATAAAAAAAATAAAGTTATGTCAAGTTTATTTTTAAAGATGTTAACACTAGCTGCCGATATGGTGTCATGATCCAAATTGTTCTAGATATTAAAGATTCTGTTTGGCAAGAAGTTCGCCCTGGACCTTGCAGTAGTTTGTTCCCTCTTTAATTTGTATCGATGGCCTCTTAATCTATCGTCTTCATTCAAAGTGAATATGTTGTTTAGGTTCCCAAAATTATGTTTTAAAATACGGAAGGACATAATTAGGTCACCTCGAAGACGTCGCTGCTCGAATGTCGTAAGATGAGCCATGAATAGTCTATCTTCATAGTTAGGTCTTACACGGCCGTATGCCAGTCTTGTGGCTTTACGCTGAACGTTTTCAAGTAGGATTTTATCGCGACTAAGATCTGGATTCCACACTGGTCCGGCAAACTCAAGAATAGGTCTAACGTATATTGAGTAAAGTTTACTAACAGAGGCTAGAGATATGCGTGCAAAACATTTACGGATCAAAAACAGTTTCGAGTTAGCACGTTTACACACCGACACTATGTGATCAGACCAATTTAAGTCACTATTAATTATCACTCCGAGATCGTTGTGTGAGGTTACAGAGGTTAAAGGATGTCCATTAATAAAGTACGGCAGTGATGGGTTATTTTTGCCGATATGTAAAACAACGCATTTTTCAATGTTAAGCGGAAGTAACCATTCTGAGGACCATTTGAATATTGCGTCAAGATCTTGTTGAAGAATATGTTGGTTAATAGTTGGATTCACATATAACTTCGTGTCATCAGCGTAAATGGAAACCTTACTGGATACAATGAGTGGAAGATCACTAGTGTAGACACAAAAAAGTAGCGGTCCAAGTACTGATCCTTGTGGAACTCCACTCTTGACTGGCTTATCTAGTGAATGGTCTTCCCCAACACGAACCCTGAAGTATCTGTCGGATAGAAAATCTTGTATCCAAATGTTTAGTTTTCCGCGGATACCATAGTGATCCAATTTAGCTAGTAATCGACGTTTTGGAACACGATCGAAAGCTTTGGAGAAGTCTAAGTAAACTACATCGACAGGATTCCGATTGTTTAAAGATAATGACCAATCATTTACACAATGAAGTAAGTTTGTGATCGTTGAACGACCTTTGATAAATCCATGCTGTTGGTGAGGGATGACATTTTCTTGAAGAAGGAACTCGGACATAGCTTCCGAAATAATCGATTCCATGACCTTGCCGACAATAGGAACCAGGCTGATTGGACGATAATTATTGCAATCAAGTTTATTACCTTTCTTGAATACAGGAGTAACAGAAGCCAATTTCCAGGACGAGGGGAGGGAACCTTGATTAAAAGAAGCAGTCATTATGAGAGATATAGGGATGGCGACAGAATCTGCACATTGTTTGAGGAAAAATGAGGTGAGTCCGTCTAATCCAGGTGATGAATTATTTCGCAGTTTCCTTAAATGATGTTTAATTTCATCCGGTGTGAAAGATATGTTTTCAAGAGTTTTAGACAAACGAGGGCACATTATTTGAGGAATGGTATCGTTAGATTCATCTGTAAAAACTTGAGAAAAGAATAACGATAAACATTCCGAAGATTCGTTATTCGAAGAACATAAAGACCCATCAGCTTTTTGAAGCAACGGTATGGAAACTTTAGAAGATAAAGATGTACGAATGTACCGATAAACTTTTTTACTATTACCACTTGCAATGATAGATTCTTCAAATTCTGTTCTTAACTTTAGCAAAGATTGTTTGACTCGGTTAGAAAAATTACGGTGGGCGAAAAAATCATCAGCGGAACTAGTGAGTTTATATCTTCGCCAAAGCTTTCGCTTATGTCGAATTAAATGAGTAGCTGAGAGGTTAATCCAAGGTTTTAGTCGATTTCTATATACCTGCCGTTCGGTTGTATGATCAGAAATTGTTGTAATAGCAGTATGAAGAAAAGTGTCCCACATTGACGATGGATCAGAGTGATTAGAAAAAATAGATTGCCAGTTTAACTGGGATAAAACTGAATTTACATCAATGAAATTAGTAGTGGCATACGTTACGAAATTATTTTTGCAAGGCGGTGTTAAACTAAATTGAATGTGAGCAGTAATAAGCGAGTGGTCAGAAAGACCCACAGGAGAGGACACTTCAAGTGAAGAAATTAATTCATCGTCATTTGTGAAAAATAAGTCTAAAATTGAAGGATTATTGTTGGCTCTAAACCTTGTAGGTTCAGTTATCAGTTGTAATAAATTTGAGTTCATGATAAAGTTTTTAAACAAATTTTGGGAATTGATAGTATCAGTTTTGGAAATAATGGGCCAGCTTATTTCTGGAAAATTGAAATCTCCAACAACAATGAGATTTTCAAGGGATGATAATTCCTCAAGTTTGTTAATAAGCATATTGTCCTGAGTAAGTACTGTATCAGGAGGTCGGTATATGCAAACTATATTAAATATGAAAGAGTTATTAGTAATAAGTAAGTGGATAATTTCTATACCGGGTACGTCTATTGTTTTATTACTGATAGAAAAAGTGTTGGTAATTTCATTTGCTAAATAGATGCATACTCCTCCCCCTCGACGAGTACCTCTGTCTCTACGAAATATCCACCCGTGATTTACTAATATAATTTGTACACAATATTAAATATTCTTTTGATTGCATTGCAAATTTCACTAGGTCAGCGCATCGGTGAGCGTGATCTAGTTACGCTAGTTAAAAGGATTTTAAATTTTTAAACTGAATTGGGTTACTTAAATCTGATTTCTGGATGCTTAATTAAATACCGCTACACCAACTTTAGATTTTATGTCTAAATTTTAAATTAAAATATTCATTATGGTAAATTTAATATGTCAGATTGATTATTGAGCTAATTTGTTTAATTTTGCCCAATAACTTTGTAGGTTCTATCGTAAAGATGACGGTACTTGGGCTACACATAAAGTTATCGACGTCCTTCAAAAGAAAGTTTCTGGATGGATTGCGCCCTACATTCAAGGTAAAATAATTTTAACAAAATGAGATATAATACAAATAACACTATAATACAAACAGTTATTAAAACAGTCTCGTCTAATTATAAGAAATAAAAAATAACACAAGCGACTTTTTTGTAGGAATGATAACTGACATCTTAATCTCCTTAGATGACAAGTATTTATACTTTAACAATTGGTTACACGGAGATGTTAGACAGTACGACATCACCGATAGAGAACATCCAAAATTAACTGGTAAGCATTATCTTAGAAGAGAATAGATTTTTTTATTTTTAAAAAACATAAGTTTTCTATAATGTAGTGTCTGATTTTGCAAACTTACATGTATATTGCAAATTAAATAAGGTCATATGAGTCCACTAGATGCAAAACTCTGTATTTGGAAAAATTGTAAAAATTGATTTTCAGCTATAATAGCTATCTGCTTATGTAGAAATTCAGCTGCAAAGTCAGCTATTTGCTAAGAAATAGACATTAGAAATCTTGAGTCAGATACAAAACTCTGTATTTGTGAGCCTATTCCAGTTGCATAAATGTGTAATTGCATTTTTCTAATCGCTTACATTGTTTGAGTCACAAGATACTTCGCCTGTGCACATCATACGCCATTATGAAGGCGCACATGCGACCGGGTGCAGTGTTTGTTCTTTATAGCTAAAAAACACCAAGTTTATTGCAAATTAAATTGACATTATGGATTTTCTGTGCAATTAGACATTGTGGAAAATAAAAAGGGGAAAACGAGTTGTACAAACAGAAAAATGGCAATGAAATGTAATGAAACTTAAGAGGTAAGGGGTGTCTACAATTAAATAGATAGGCTCGGGACTTGTCAATATTTTTAAGCATAAACGTAAGGATTTACTTGGGTTTCCCACATGTAATCATACAAAAAAGAATATAAAGTAATAATATTGTAAGGATTTAAAGATGCGCGACATTCAGTGGTTCCATAATAATATGTATTCAACCACTGACAAAATAAAACAAGATATTTTTTTGCTGAAATTTTGTGTCAAAAGTCCAAGAGATTAGGTACAAAACTAGATGGAATTTCAATTAGATATTTTGTTCCTACAGTAGAGGGTGGACTTTTAAGAGTGTGCAAGAAAGCATTTCTAGGAATAACGCATTAAGTTCTGAAAGAATAGAACGTGTTCTAAGAAGGTTTGTTATCCGGAGTGAAATTCCAAAAGAGGGAAGAGAGGGAGATAAAACAAAAGGTAGATTTGATCCAATAAAATTATATATCCAAATATTTATGGGACGGTTGAACGGTGCAGAGTCATTATAATATAGGACGATCAACTAGATTGTATTTACCATGTGATCTAAATTTTACAAAGCTTTAGGTACAGAATGTATTGTCTAAGTTATCCATATCATTTCGTAAAGTTATAACATTTCGGAGCATACGTTAATGAACAGTACAACATATCATTCGGCACTTTCTTAATAGATGCTTGTTCTCCGTGTCCCAGAAAGTAGGAAATTTTGAGAGAAGAAAAGTCAGAAGAAGAAAAGTTAAAGGTTATAACAGAGCAGAGAGTTCATACGTTAAGAGCTAAAGCCTTTTATTCTTTGTTAAAAAACGAATATGAAGACATAATTGGAAAACACTCAAAGGTGCTGATTGAGACTTGAGAAAAAGGTGAAGTAAAGACTGGCAGATATTAGACTGGAGAAAGACGAGTGACGTTGCTGTTAAAAAATTTCCCAGTAGCATTTTAAATATAATGCATCGAAAAAATTTATATTTTCTAAGGACAAAGATCATATGGCTACAGTGAGAGGGAAAATATCTTATCGTTATGACATAGGGTTCAGCAAGTCTATAATACGAAAAGGAAAAAGATTTCTATATTGAAACCTTAATTATAACAAATAAGATGTTCATTGAAAGGAGATAAATTATGCAATAGACACTGTTCTTAGAAAACATTTTGGTAAAAATTGGAGAGATCAGCCGAATCTCACATTTTATAAAATAATAGATATTGGCGTACAGACAAATAATAACGAGTGTGCTGCAAAAAATGATCATATTGATGATGATAACCCAAAAGAACTTAGGAATTAATATAAATATATACACATAATTTGTAAAACCTTTTGTACTTTGTTAACATAACTGTTGACTAAAAGTTTACTTCGACATGCTTTCTTCTTTATTGGTAACACACTAGGTTTGGAAAACAGACTAATCCAAGAACCACTAATGTCGTTAATGGTTAATTATTTCCATATATTTACAAATATTAGTTCCATAAATATATATTTACATAGTTCACTTGTAAAACTCGGAATTTTCAAATTTTTCTTCCTTTCCTAGCAAACATAATAACTTTTTAAGAAAAAAATCATTCGTCTTCTACGAGTGAGTATTCAAATACACCCCTCTGAACTTTTTTGAAAAGCTTGAAATTTTTTAGAGGACAACCCGGAACTCGATTTTCTCGAATTGTTCTAGTGCATTTTAAATTTCTTGATGTTAGCTCACGTAGTAATGGAAGTAAGGTAAAAAAATATCACAGAATAAGTGAAACGACGCACCTGGATTATCAGACTGCAATTTATCGGCAAATGACAATACGACACTGGCTCCTAATCCTAATTCCTTGTATGTATCAGAAAGTGGAGTTGTGGCACCTTGATAAGATTTAAACCACTCGACAGATCCCTGTTTTGTGGTTCCGACCCATAGTTTATAGCCCCATCTAATGGGTTTACCTCTGATAAACTGTTTTGATCCATGCTGCCCATAGCAAGGGACCATCGCTTCATCAACGATGTTCTTTAAAAGAACGAAACATATGAATTTATCGCCTTATTCTAATTCGGTGTTATTAGAAACATGTATATTTTGCATAATAAAATTGAATCTATCTCGCGATATAGCTGAATACACCAACTTACAACCTGCGTCATCGTTGTTTTCCCAGTACATAGGCCGTCGAGGAAATGAGAAATATCCACAGAAGTAATATCTCAACGAAACACCCAATTTCATTTTGATTGATATCTCCAGAGCAATTGTGTTGTGATGCATATAGATTACTAAAATGTGTACACAGTCCACAACTTTATCATCAATTAAAAGGGAAAATAACTGTAAAGGCGTGAGAAACTTTTTTGGTTCACTTACTGGCTTCCAGTTGGAAAAACTGGGATCACTATTTTGTTTTTTTCCAGGAATATTCTCTTTTTTTCTTCGGTTTAAGTTGTGAAGCGAGACACCAAAGCGAGACACACGCACAGACAACGGGAGGTTATCTTCACTATCAGAATCGTGATTGTAGTATCTTTTGGACCCGAAATAATAATTTCATTCTGCCTTCATCCTCCAACGGTGCACAATCAAAAACAACTTTAGCTTGTAGACCTAATTGACTACCTGGAAGGTTATTTATGTCAATGTGGTTTTCTTTCCCGGAATCTTCGTCGGTATCATATTTATCGGATGGAGGAAAGACAATAATACCATCAGGTAATGAAGATGGATCATAATGAAGATGGATCATATAGGTGTTTAATCTCATCTAATAACTCATTGAGAATCAATGGTTTCGTCCAATAACTAAAAAGTTACAAAATGTTATAACTGAGTAGCATGTTATCCTACCGTATGTTATAACATACAGTCGTTTTTGATCATTATTTTTCTCAGAAAAAAGAATAAATATTGATAACAGTAATATATATACATCGGTTTAGAACGTCTTTCGACGTTGTCCGATATCTAAACACCATCGCTTCCTATCTTCGCAGTCGTTAGTTGTTAAATTTCTTTCGCTCATTTACTTGTTTACGCCGTGTTGCCATTCTAATCTGGGTCTTCCTCTTTTCCGTCGACCTATCGGTTACCATTCTACTACTTTTTTGGGGAGTCTTGTTGCTGGTATCCGTTGAACATGCCCATACCACCTTAATTGTTTCTTCTCTATATCTTGAGTTATATTTCCTTCTATTCACATACGTTGTTTTATTGCCTCATTTCTGATTCGGTCTCGTCTGGTAATACCTAAAAATCTTCTCATTGCATCCATCTCTACTGCTTCTATTCGCTTTTTGTTCTTTTTACTAATTCTCCATGTTTCAGCGCCATAAAGAAGAGTAGTTTTAATCATGGTCTCATATATATATTAAATTTTCTTCCTTTCTTTATCTCTTTACTCCACAGTATACCATTGAGACATCCTAAGACCTTCTTTGCTTGAGTGATTCGTTTTTTTCTATTTCCTGTGTATCAGTTCCCGTATTGTCAAAGGCAACACCCAAGTAGTCATAGCTCTGACAGCAGGAAATATGTTGTCCGTTTTCGAGGTCTATGTTATCTGACTATGTTTCCGATACAAAGGTCTAGGTCTATGTTTTCAATACAAAGATATTTCTAAGCATGTACTACATGTCTTCCCTGTCGGTCGCTAGTACTACCTGGTCATCAGCAAACTGGAGTGTATATATTCATTCATTGCTAAGCTCTATACCCATCCCATGCACCTTTCTTTTCCATTTTTCCAATGCTGCCGCAACATATATCTTGAATAAGGTTGGTGAGATACAGCATCACTGTCGTAAGCCTTTTGTAACCAGGAATTCTTCCGTTAGATATTTTCCTGTTTTTATCTGTGCCTTTGAGTCTCTGTATAGTTCTTGTACAGCATTTATCAATGTGTGGTTGATGTTAGATGTTTTCAACGTTGTCCACAATTTTGTTAAGGGGATGTCATATGCTTTTTGCAGGTCTACAAAAGTAACATGAGCTTCTAGATTTTTAGCCGATCTCTTTTCTATTATTTGTTTAAGACAAAATACGTTATCGGTGCACGATCTTCCTGTACGGAACCCGCTTTGTTCTTCTTCTTCAGTGTGCTTAGATTCTTCCTCGATCATATTTCTCAAAATTCGTCCATACAGTCTGCTCAGGGTGCTGGTTACCGATATGCCTCTATAATTATTACAATTCCTTTTGTCCCCCTTTTTGTGTATTGAGGACATGTATGCCGTTCTCCATTGTTCTTATACTGGGTGTCCATTTAGACACTGATTGATCACATAAGTTAAGTTTTCAAATAGTTTATGAGTTCCATTCTTAAAAATTTTAGCATAGATTCTCTCAGGTCCAGCGGATTTACCATTCTTTAGGGTCATTACAGCCTTCCTTACTGTTTCGATGTCTACCCTCGCTTCCTCTCCTTGTATATGTACTGACTGTGTTGGGGAGTTCGCTAGGT